AGAAAATTGCTGGAATAAATCTCAGTAATTTTCAGCTTTAATTTATACTTTAGTGGGAATTCTCCCAATTTTTTGTAGCAATTAAGAAGTTATTTTTTAACCTCGTTACTTCTTATAAATACTATTCGTTCATTCGTGTGTTACGACAAGAGCCGTTCGTACATTCGTGTTTCATGAGAAGATTCGTAATTTCCAAAACTTAAAACATTATACGATTTATTCCAAATACTTTTCCATTCATTTTGCAAAAGGATATAAACAGATTGATTTTATGGTGGCGGCGGCGTCACGCTTTGTGAGCACAATAAAATCTATATTTAAAATTCAATATAAAATTAGCACATAATCATCCTCTTATTTGAAGAGAAAAAACTAAAGACATTTTTCCAATTTGCCCAGCTAATCAAGCGAGGTTTTTTTAATCAAGCCAAGCTATTTCATTTAACCCGTGATCTTTGTTCAATAGGTTAATTATTGGTAGAAGATGTTGCAGTTTTGGTAGATGTGTTTTCGAGTCAGGCTTAATGAACATAATGCAAAATTCATAGACTTATAAAACTAATAAAACTTACACAAGCATATAAATCAGATCATAGATTTGAATACATCAAAATTTTTTCGTTTTTTTTTCAAAAAGTTGAATTCCAGTTCAAAATTATTATTCCTTCGACGTTCGTCTTGAAGATGTTTTTTTGTCTTGAAGATGATTAGTTGAGGTGGGTGGTCGTGTATACGTAATTGGGGAGGACTGGCTCACAAAAAGGGTGTAATTTTTGTTTTGTAATAAAAATCAAAATTGTTGAAGAGACAACTCGTTCGATACGATTTCATAACAGCTATGCTACATAGCTATAATAATAATTTTGGAAACATTTTTACAATTTTCCTTCCAACCGGGCTATAAGTTGGTGGTTTTTTATCTTTAAAATATGTATTGTTTTTTAAAGTTCCCGGACTTGTTTGGTACAATCATCCAACTGGAGAATTTGCATTTTTGCAGTCAATTGCTTCGCGGGAACATACAGTTTTTGGTTATCAAGGAAGGAATTTGTTATGTAGTACAGTTTCCGTATTGGACGATGAGCTAGCAATTTAAAGCAATTTCAAAGCATAGTATAAATCCATATCAAATCCTGGGTTGGTATTTCATTCAATTAAAGTGGCGTTTTTTGTCGAACTGAACTTGCGATTTAGTTCAGTAGGATGCAAGGGCTGTCCCCTAACTGTCAATAAGTGTGTGAATTCTGGTACCGGCGAATTGGCCGTTATTACCTCATAAGGTCTAACTATTTGGGTTTGTTTCTCAATGCCAGAATTAGAAGGAACCAGGGGCAATGTAAAATTAGAAGGGGAAATCTTCAGGGGTGGCGGTTTTGATTTAGGAGCTATTGGAGCAGTGGAAGTTTTGTTCGTGGTGGTAGAGTGAAGGATCGTTTTGAGGCCGGTATTGTATTAGGGACCGTAGGAGTAGCAGTGGAAGTGGTTGCTAGTTGAGTCGGAGTCCACTGGATTGATGGGTGGAAGAAGGGAGTGAAGATCCTCAAGACCTCGCAAGTCATCGTCTAGAGTAGAGTCGACAGTTGGTGCCAGCGCATCGGTCGGTATATTCTAGAACAAGTAAATTAATAGTTGGACTGGGTTGATGGGATGTTCTAAGTTTTGATTTCTTCAATCAAAACTTGTTAATTGAATGTGAGGATACATTCAATCCTGGTTTATATCGTCAGTTTTCTCTAAAAGAGGTGCCTGTACTTTATGATCATATTCGTCTAGTTTTTCATTTTGTGCATCTTGAAAAAAACAAGGTCACTATAGAAGTGAAAAGTATATTATACGAGGTGGCAGTACTTTGCCAAATTGTAGTGAGCGGTCGGTCAGTTTGTGAATGTGTAAGGCTTTTAATATAAAGACTACACAATCTAATAAAAAAACTGACAAAGAGAAATGAGGCGAAGACTATTCTACGTTTCGTTGAATAGAATTGTTTTTTCCCGAGTATACGGGTCTATTTGTTTTATCAAAAATCAGGAGATATGAGATAGTCTAAACATATAGTTTGAGTGGAGCCTGGTGGGCTATGAGTCCGAGAAAAAAAATTGGGCATTTTTGCAGTATTCCTTTCATTTTTGAAGTATCAGATATCATTTTTCAAAATTTTTGCTTGTGAGCATAAGTATAAAAGAAAGCACCTTGACTGGATGCTAATGAGTGTTTAATTTGCTGAGCTATCTTTTTTGGTTTAAAAAGATATGGTCCAGTCGTCCTTGTTATTTGGGGTGTTAATTCAATCCAGGACTTATCATCATCAACATCCAGTTTGAAAAGGTTTGAGTGTTTACCGGAACAGTCTTGTAAGAGTTATTGGATCGATAAATCGAATGTTTTCCTTATACGTTAGGAGAAAGCGATTTGAATAAATTAGCTTACAACTAATTAGTTAGATTTGAATATCAATTAGTTGTAAAAGTGAATAAACTTCGGACAAGGATAGAGCCACTCAATCTTGCCATTGGTCTCCAAGAACATAGAACGATTCCGAGTTAGATTTTAAACAACCAAACCTGGGCTCTCCAGTGAAAGAATTAATTAATTCAAGATTGAGGAGCGATCTAGCTCGCATTGTTTTTGTAAAAAAGGGCCAATTCGGCTGTTCTAAGCACGTAATAGCTTTTGAAATAATATAGTCCAATTTGAACCTATGTGAGCTTCATAATCAATTTGACTAGTTAAAAACTTAGTAGGCCGCGAGTTTTCACTTGTTGTGACAAAGTTAGAGTTTAGTTGGGGTTGCTTAAGAGAAAATAGCTGGAATGAATCTCAGTAATTTTCAGCTTTAATTTATACTTTATTGGGATATCACCCAATTTTTCCGCGCAATTAAGAAGTTATTTTTAAACTTCGTTACTTCTTGTGAAAACTATTCGTACATTCGTGTTTTACGACAAGAGCCGATCGTACATTCGTGCTTCACGAGAAGATTCGTTATTTCCAAAACTTAAAACATTATACGATTTATTCCAAATACTTTTCCATTCATTTTGCAAAAGGATATAAACAGATTGATTTTATGGCGGCGGCGGTGTCACGCTTTGTGAGCACAATAAATTTCATGTTTCTGATTCAATATAAAATCAGAAAAATAGCAACAAAACAAAAATTGTCTAAAAAAGCAAATTTGTCACAAATTTTAGACCACTTTTATTCGAACGATCAAACTATCTTGTTATTTTTTTCGGAACTTAGCTAACCAAAATCCAGTAGACTCCAAACATTTTTTATGCGTAATAGCTTCAATTTTAAGGAATTTGAAAGCAAAAAAGTGCAACTACGTTGATAACGCAATATTTGTTTTCGGCTATCCGGAAACAGATTTGTGTTTTCTCGGCTATCCTAAAACAAAATTTTGTTTTCGGCTTATTAATAAAAAACGATTTCTGATTAGCAGGGAAAATTTTTTTTCGGCTTACCAGTAAATTAAAAAATAAAATCAAAATTTACTAAATGTTGAGATGGACGCAGGTAGCAGGCGCCAAAAAAGTGAACCTCGACTTTTTACCAAAACTTTTTCAAATATTTGCCTTCGTCGCAGTTTTGTCAAAAAAAAGATCTTTAGAGCGTTTCGGGATAGCTGAAGTTTAGCCGATTCAAAAAAGCACGATGAATCTTTCAATTTCTTAAAGCAATTTTTCCCCATCCTAGTTTTTCTATTCTGAGGTCGATAAATTACTTGGGATGGGGGGGGGGGGCAGGGACTATAACGGGAAAGACTTTTTTATTATATATGATACAAGTTTAACATTTTCAGCGATTAATTTTTGAGGTGGAGCGAATCGAACTTTTTAGCTATCGAGAACAAAAAAGATTTCGGCTATCCGGGAACGCAATTAGTTTACGGCTATCCGGGTATTCGGCTCCGTGACATGCCACCATTATGCATTTAGCATATTGAGCCACGTAACCAAGTTCAAATTTCATGATCTTTATTCACTAGTTATAGGCGTTTGCATATAAATTAAGCCTCCAAATGATGTTTCGGAAAGGTGAAAAGTAAAACATGGTTGGAGGATTTTTTCATGTTTATAATTTATGCATTTCAAAAACCGGCTGATGTTATTAACGGATGCCAATCACAAGTGGTGAATTGTCATGAATAACGCTTATTATGGACTAAAATTGCCAAAATTTTTGAAAAGCAACGTTTTACAGATGATAAAATAGCGTTTTGAGGTGCTTGTAAAGTTTAAATTTCGGCTTCAAGTCCCTTCGGCTTGGAGTCTTGTTGCCTTGTTGTCCGAGTGGCTGTCGGAGACCGACCTTTAACCTGACCACTGACAATTGGCTCTAGTTTTCGTATAGAGTCCTGCCCTCTGTTGGCTAGCTCGCTACACGTTGGCGCGACTGCGGCAGTTACTATTCTGCTGCTGAGTTTTCTTTTGTTTGAATAGTAGAAAACGAATGTAATAACTCGTTGGCTCACAATTCGACCAATCAGAAATTGAGTTGAACAATTTTGATACAAATGGGACCGACTTTTCGTTTTGGTACAAATGAACGCGTTTGTTTAAATGGGACTTCACCTAAGAGCTAGCCCCGTGGCTATCAGATGCTAAATCAGTTGCAGTGCAACCATGAAAACTTCGAAACTTCGGGTTGAGTTTTTGACTTTTTCTGTTATTGCCGATCATTATCTATCATGCCATTTCACCCTTCTTCTGAAAACGGCATTGGATCAAATTTACATCCTACAATCACCCCGCCCCCCATCCTTCCCCTCCAAGACCAAGTTAACATCGTCCACCCTAGCGTTCAAATCAAATTAAATTTGCTAAAGCGCTAGTGCGTGTAAAATGGTCTGTCTAGTCTAATCTGATGGTCTTCTAGTCTAAGCTGAAAACTCGAACTCCCTAAACGGCTTGGGGTGGTGAGGGGTGGGGGAGAGGGGGGTGGGAAGAGGACGTTAATTAGGTCCCTAATAATGTTTTACGAGAAATAAGAGGTACCTTGGAGCAGTAGTAGACGTTTCTGCAGCCAGTGCAGGCCTTAGCTTCGGCCTTACCACACATCCTGCAATCCATCTTCTCCCAGATTCAATTTCCGTTCTGTACGTTTCAGACGCTTAAATTACCATAGTTTCACTCTTTCCAACCAGCAATATATAGATGTGTGACGAATTATTTTTTTGTTGTTGAATTCAAATGCAATTACGGGAGGTGAACAATAAGCAGAATGGCCTAAGAGCAGAATGGTCCAAGAGCAGAAAAACAGAAAAAGATTGATTTTTTTAACGGGCTAATTAATATTAAACAAATATTAGAGACGTCAATAATTCTAAAAAATTGACAAAATTTTGCCTGAATTGAATAACAAGCCTTTTTTGAAATAATCTCGATCAAAGCTCTCATATAATGCACAATATATTAGTTTCTTTGGTAGTATTGAGACAATTCCAATACTTAATTTACCGATTAGCTTAAAAAAGTTGATATTCTCCTGTTTTTGAGATCGTGGAACTATTCTGCTCTTAGACCATTATGCTAAATGACTGGCCACAGCAACTAAGAGAGCATTACAATATTTCTCAGAAATGTAAATGCAGGTCGTAGAAGAATGCACGTTTGATCAAGAAATGCACGTTTATACACAGATATAAGGGTGGCCAGTCAATAAGCAGAATGGTCTAAAAGCAGAATGGGTCCAAGAGCAGAAAAATACAAAATTATCAACTTCTATAGGCTAATCGGTAAAAATAATTATCAGAAATCTCAATAATAGCAAAGCAAATCAATTCTAATAATTGTTTTATCAATTAGCCCGTATAAACCAATATAAGTCAATAATTTTCTGTTTTTCTGCTCTAGGACCCATTCTGCACTTGGACCATTCTGCTTATTGCTCCGCCTACGGAGTGCGGTCTGTATGTAGACAATCGCGGATTCATACTCGTCAGTAAACAGACAAATACTGAATTAACCAATCAGAATCGAGATGAGAAAGAAAACTTTCGAAATAAATAATTATTATGTATTAATTTCTTCCTTGTCTCGATTCTGACTGGTTAATACATTATTTGTCTGTTACTGACGAGTAGGAATACGCGGTTGTCTATATACTGCTACGTAACCAGGTAGACAAACCATAAAGTAGTCCTAGATATAAACAGAAACATGCGCAAATGGTGTAAACTGAACGGGGCTTAAGAAATTAAGACAATCAGAAAGTAACGATCGCCTAAAACGGTTACATAGCAGTATTGGGTCTAGGACAACAAGCCGACGGGACTTGAAGCCGAAGGGACTTCAAGCCGAAAATAAAACTTTACAAGCACCTCAAAACACTATTTTATCATCTGTAAAACGTTATTTTTCAGAAATTTTGGTAAGTTTAGTCCATTAAAAGCGTTATTCATGACAATGCACCGCTTGTGATTGGCATCCGTTAATAACATCAGCCGGTTTTTGAAATGCATAAATTATAAACATGAAAAATGCCTTCAACCATGTTTTACTTTTCAACTTTCCGAAACATCATTTGGAGGCTTAAATTTTATGAAAACGTCAATAACTTGTGAAGAAAGATCATGAAATTCAGAAATTCTTCAAAAATTTTTTCAAATTAATCATATTTCACGAGTTTATAAGAAACTAGTTTATTTATTAGGAACTAGTTTTAATTTCACGAGTTTATTTATAAGAACTAATTTTACAATTCGGCTTGAAGTCCCGTCGGCTTGATGTCCGGTACCCACATAGCAGTATTGGGTCTAGGACAACAAGCCGATGGGACTTCAAGCCGACGGGACTTCAAGTCGAAATTTAAACATTACAAGCACCTAAAAACGCTAAATTTTTATCATTAAAATGTTTATTTCGAAAAAAAAATAGGCAAGTTTAGTTCATCATAAGCGTTCTTCATGACAATACACCACTTAAGAGTGTCATCAGAAAGTTAGATCAGCCGGATTTTGAAATGCATAAATTATAAGCATGAAAAGTCCCATATACATCTTTTTTGGTTTTTAATAATCCTAAACATCAATTAGAGGCTCAAAAATAATAAAAAAGCCAATAACTTGTTAAGCAATGAGAAATTGAGAAATTCTTCAAAACAGTTTTCAAATTAATCATATTTCATAACCTTTTGACAAAATGTTCGGCTTGTAGTCCCTTATTATACGATTCGGCTTCAAGTCCCTTCGGCTTGATGTCCGGCACCCAGCAGTATTTAGACAACCGCGTATTCAGACTCGTCAGTATTTAGACAAATGCTGTTTTAACCAATCAGAATCGAGACAAGAAAGAATTTAATAAATAAATGTTATTTATTTTGGATTATTTATGTCTTTTCTCAATTCTGATTGGTTCATACAGTATTTGTCTAAATACTGACGAGTATGAATACGCGGTTGTCTAAATATAGGCTGCACTCCGCCTAAAACATTTAAAATTGTCTTGAACATTTTTAAATAGCCTAAAAAATTGCTTTTAAAAATTTTTTAATGAGTTTCTATACCGCATTAACGCAGATAAAGATCAATTTTGGAAACTTTTTGTAGGAAATCACAGGTCTAGTCAGGGGAGGGTTTTCTCGAGAGGGGCTGATTTTCGAAAATTTTCGAAAAATTTGACGACCTTTTTTTAAGGTCGATCAAATTGATTTTCCGAGCTCTCCTAAAGCACTAAAAAATACACTGTTTTGGCCAAATTTTGTGCGCAGCAGGCAAATTAAAAAAAAACTTGTCAAAAAAGCAGTTTTGGGCTTTTTTTGTAAAATTTTGACAAAAAAAATTGCAAATTTTTTTAGCGCGGGCTCCCCCTCAGAGTTAGCATATATTGTCGCCAACGGCGCCTTTAGAAAAACTTTAGGGCCCCCAACCAAAAATGGATTTCTTAAAAAGTACCAAAGGGGGACCCCTTGGGTCGGCAAGGGGTCGAACCCCTGAGAGGGGGGAGGCCTCCTTCCTCCCCCCTAAGTCCGCCCCTGGGTCTAGTCATTTTGAATATCTTGCCAAGATATTGAAGCATTTTGAAGATTCATCAAAGATAGCAAAGAATCTTTGAAAATTTTGTTTTTGTTTTACAAGACTTCTGACTGTTCAAAACCCATGAAGACGTCCCCAGAAACATGTATGATAGCTCTGCACCAAGCGAATTTGAAATTTTCTTGAAATCTTGGAAAGAACTCAAGATTCTTCAAGATTTTTAAATTAGTTGATTTTTATGAAGATTATTTAATTTTTGTTAATTTTTGTACCGATGATTTTTACTTATATGATAGTAGCAATGCTTCATTTAATAGCTCAGAATTATCTATTCATAAAAATTTACATCCTTTAGAACTTTTTTTAAAGAGCTCGCAACCCCAGATTTTATAAAAATTATTTGTAAAATCTTAAGGATTCTTTGTAACCTTTATTTCTTGCCAAGTTTTCTAAGATTTTTCAAAATTTGACAAAAATCGCAAAGATTGCTGGGCCTAGGAAGTTTGGATCTTACAACATTTTTGTAAGAAAAATTCCTCGTCTAACAACTTTCTTATAAGAAAAAGTCCCTATCTTGTAACGTTCTTAGAGCCTAATTTTGTAATAAGTTGTAAAATATTAAAAATTCTTTGATAGCGACTATTGGTCAACCTGGGGGATTAGGAAAATAACTTGCGTGCAGTCCTAATACAGACTTAAACTAAATTTTTTGAGTCAATACTGTTTATCTAACTGCAAATCAGGTAATTAATGTCAGAATTGTATATTTATTGCATTTCACAAGTGTACTATAGTTTTTAGATTTATTGTATCATAATTAATTTACATAATAAATTTTGACCAGTTCTGTGATGAAATACAATTTTTGTTTTCGTGCAAAACATTTTTTAAACAAAAATAATAGAATTTCTCTCCTTAAAAAACTAAAAAATACAAAACTGCTTGTATCAGGGAAAAGTCCTGATTGTTGCGACTGCTCTTCAAGTGACAGTTTTTGGCAAATCAATTTTGGCAAAATTGCAACTTTTCGGCTGATAATATCGAAAATTATGTGTTGCAATTTGAATAGTGAATGGTTTGAGTTATCTCGCTAAAAAGTGTTAGGGTTGGTCAAACCCGAAATAAATCTCGTGCAAAAGTACCAAAGGAGTTCCCCTTTAGAAAACATTACGATACCAAACTGTGTATTTTGTAAAATGTATGCAGATTCCGCAAAAAGACCGCTCTCTCTCTCTCTCTCTGATATTTTCTTAAATTTTCTTAAGGTCTTTTGATGATGCGAACTAACTTTTAACATAATTAAAGACTTTTGTTTTTCGTTTCCACTACAAACACACTCCAATTTGTGCGCCCATCCAGTGCAAATTTTGTAAATTGTGCGCCCATCCAGTAATGAATTTGGCAACTAGATCTACAAGAAACAGTGACACAATACAATCTTACCAGGAAGGAACTTTTTCTTACAAATTTTTATTCTAAAATAATTTCTTAAAACAAGCTTCAAAGTTCTCCGCTGTCGGAGAGTACCATAACGGAAACTCGTTACAAAAAATTTCGTTTTGCTACATGAGTTCACCGGAAAATCCACCTTGTTAACAGGTGTAGTTTCTTGCTGATTTTTGTAGAATCTTAGTCAATAATGAACATTTTTACATGCTTCAAATAGAAAAAAAAATGAAATGTTTCCTAAATGGAGTTTTATCTGTTAATACTGTACCGAAACAAATCCAAAGTGATTTAGGCGAATTTTTTTGAGCTTTGGAAAAGAGCTATCTAAAACTTTTCTAAAAGAAAGATATATGATAGCGAATATTTCCTGAAGGTCTTAAAATAAGACATTTTAAAATACGAAAATTTTTTTGTAGGATGGTCAAAACGGGCATATAAAATACAAATTGTTAGATTTTGCTCCAAGTAACGTATCAATTATGACACATAGCCTGCTTCAGCCAATTCTGAATGATTTCTAATACAGATTACATAGCCGCTCATGCGTTCATAGCGCGAAATATATCACGCGTTAATTGTCTCAAATTGGCCAAATTGGCAATCTTTAAACCATTTTAATTTACTAGGGATGATCACAAGTGAAATAGATTTTTAAATCTAGCTCAATATAACAATACCTTTCGAATTGTATTTAAAAACTCCGTTAAAATTGGCTAGTTAAAAAACCGAAGTTTGTCTGAAGAAAAAAAACACCCCGAGCACAATTATTCCGTCTTTTTCTTCAAAAGTTGGAACAAAACTTTTCAAAAAAATGAAGAAAAAGGGGGGGGGGCAGTCGGCACGCAATATCCCACACCCTATCTTTGACGCCCATCACTATCGGCCTCCCATCGACACGCTACTGCTGACGCTTGTCATTTAACTTATGATCTCTTACTCTCTTACTCTTAAATTATTTCGTTTCCCCCCTTTTGGGACCACGGACCATATCAATTTTTTTCGGACTCTGCAGAGTAAATTTTCAAACTAAAGGGGGAGGTGGGAGCTTCAGTTCGCTATAATGAGGATATAATGGGATAGAGCCAACATCTTTATCATAAAATAATCTAATTCACGCCATGAAAAAAACTCCGAAGTATTTCAGTATTTCATCACCGCGAAATAATGCTTGAGTAATTTTTTTTCAATTCCATCCAATCGATGAAAACAACTTTGAAACGTTTCAAAAT